AGGAAGGAAGGAAGGAAGGAAGGAAGGAAGGAAGGAAGGAAGGAAGGAAGGAAGGAAGGAAGGAAAGAAGGAAGGGAAATCTGAGTCCAATTTATGTCATTATCAAAATATATCTCAAAATGAATATATTCTACCTGTTACGTTTCAAATATTTGCAAGAAAACCAGCATTTAGTTTTGTATGCAATTTACAGCCAAGAAATATTTCTCAAAAGGACACTATCAACATCTGAATTATACCTCTTCACTTCTCTCAAACATTATATTTTTCCATACCCAACTTTTCTAATGAAAAGAAAAAGAAAATTACTTCTATTTGCTTACTGTTTATATCATTTTTAAATATGTTGATATCTCTAATATAATTTAAGCATTAAACACAATTTAGGTCCAAATAATAATTACCTTCTTTGTCAATCCATCTACAAGATAAATGGTTCTCACTAAAATATTAATTTGTAGTTTAATCTGTGTGTATTTACCTAGGCGTAAGATCCATTTTGTGCAATGGAACTTACTTCCAGTTATCATGCTCAGACAACATTAAAATGCTGGTTTGTTTCTGGATTATCTTTGTTACATACTGCTATTTTAACTTGGCTGGTTCAATTTAAATGGGAAGATGGACCAAGAAATGTGCATGTGGGTAATGCCTCTGTATTCCTTACCTTGTTTGGAGTCTCCATCACCATAGCAGTTTAATTTTCCTTGGTTACAAGTGCTGAGTAAAAGAAATCGGAATGATTATTGTGTCCAGATTATCTGAGAGTCCTAAAACTTTTTTTTTTTTTGAGTTGAGAAACTGCAAATTATCAATTCTACTATAAAAAGCACTTCAAAGGCAGAGTAGTTAACATAATCTGGCTATAACATTACATATTTAAAATGAAAGGCTCGAAGATTTACTGTGGACCCAAGTCAGAAACAACTTAAAAAGCGAAGACTCCAGAGTGGAAGGGATGAGTGTGGAGATTAAGCGGCAGAGGCTTAATTTATGTTTTTACCCTCTAACTCTGGAAGTTAAATGGCAGCTTGAGAAAAGAGTGATTAAAGGAGGAAAAAAGGGGGACTAGACAAGAAGAAGAGGTGTGAAGAAGGTTTTTTTTCAGGAAAACTGCCTTTTCAAACTGAGATTGATTGTGAGTTCCGATGATGGAAGAACTGGAATGATGTCTACAGTCTCCATTTAAATCAAATCACCAAAAATAATTCTAAACGGCCACCAATTGGTGAGAACAAAGGAGACTCACAGAAAATTGATAGTCTCCGTATAAATCACCCAGCTTCATTTAAATCACCCAGCAGATTAGTCAGCCTGAATTTAAATTCCCACTCAACTGATTGGACAACCTCCACTAAACCCCCACCCAAATCTCATCCTTTCCAAACTCCAAAGCAGATGATTGGTGAGCTCATTCAAATCTTCTCCATTCAAATCTATCAAACAGCAACACTTCCTCTTTAAAACAAAAACAAAACAAAGACCAAAAAAACGTGGCTTTAAGGAAAAACAAAGGAACTTTACACAACAAACCTCCAATACTTCATTACCTCCACTATTTCAGTACCTCAAGACCAAATATTTATAGATAATGCTTTGTCTATAATAATTGATTTATCATATAATAATATAATAATTAATTGTTAAATGACCACTAATTTACTGATTCATTGAATTGATAGAGATTTAATACTGTATCATTGATTATCTAGTCAATTGATTGATTGATTGATTGATTCTTAGTAATAAGTAACCTTACTTTTAATTTGTTCTCTAACTTATCAATTAACATTCATTAAGTAACTGCCTACCTATCACATTAATTAGCTATTGTCATTGATCATGCCAGCCAGAAACTCCAGAAACTCCAAATCCTCCACTACCAAACAACAACAAAAAAATAATATCTCTACCAATGACCTCCCAGACTCCTGTACATGCTTCAGATGTCTTAAAACCATCAACGAAAGTGAAAATAACATCAAATGCTACCTATGTGACAATCAAGCCCACCTTGCCTGCTTAAACTTAAACAAAAACCTAGTTGATCTCCTAAAAGCATCAAATACATTCCCTTGTCTATGTCCATCATGTTTTCCTAAGCTAAACAAACCAAGTACCCTGCCTGACAGAGTTGATAGCATAGAATCACTTATGCACTCAATAGAAAAACACTTAGCAACACATTTTGAAACAATTATACAAGAAAGCCTAATTTCTCTTGAAAAAAAAATAAAGCACTGATAAGCAGCTACCTATCAGCTCAAAATCAAATCCCAACCCAACAATCACTACCACAACTACTACCTCAACTACAATCACAACTACAACCAAAAATAACCACCAAACCACAACCACAAATAATTACTATCCCATCAAGTAATTCCACAAATGATATCCCCTTACTCATCAGAGACATCATGGAACATGATCAGAAAAGTCCAAATGCCATCTTATTTGGTCTTGAAGACAAAAATGAATCAGATGACATCACAAAAGTTCACAATATCATAAGCAACTCAAATACAACAAACAATCTCTCCTGAAGATATCATTGAAATAACCAGAGATGGCCCTGAGTCCAAATACAATGATGGCTCTGTGGCCCCAAGATTTTGTAGAGTTGTATGCAAAAATGAGTCCAGCAAATGCATATTCATTCATACAATAAACACCATTGCAAAAACCAATCCCAACCACAAAAAACTTCGCTCAAGACCAAACTTATCCATACTGCAAAGAATCCACTCCCGTGAACTCCGCAATGAACTCAAAAGATGTCTAGACAATGGAGAGAAGGATCTGTACATTGATTACCGCGCTGATTGTATCAAAAGTAAGTCACACAACCCACAACTCCACATCCAACCCTACCTCATCCAACCCACCATCACTCAAAACTAGGCACACACGCCCCAAACTACCTCAATTCTGGACCCTAAATGAATGTAAAACTGAACCCATACATGCAACCTTCTACAATGCTGTAACAAACCTGGGACTGGAACAACTAGTAACCAACAATACTAGACTTAACAACTGCCTCGATTTCATATTCTGCAATAGTTTGAATTCAATTTACGGAATACAAATTAAAAAACTCTTTTCCAACAATGACCACAGCATGATTGAGTTTTGTCTCAACATACGCCCACACAAAAATGAACACAATGATGTGATCCCCAATTATAACTTCAAAAAAGGCAACTATGATAGTATAGATAATGATCTCTCATCCCTTGATTAGCAATTTCTATTCACTGGATGCAATACTGTTGAAGACCATTACAACATATTTTTACTTGAAGTCAAAGAGTCATCAAATTATGTACCAATAATAACTCCAAAAACCAGTAAAAACAGATTACCCATAACAATAAGGAAGCTTCAATCCAAAAAGAGATTACTTTGGTCGAAAAACAAATCTGGTCACGTTGCCAACTTCAAAAGCCGATACAAAAATTTATGCCACCAGATTAAGACTGAATGCACCAATTATCACATTAAAGAAGAGGAAAACCTTCTACACACCAATTCCACCTGCACTTTCTACAATTTTGTAAACAACAAACTAAAAGACTCAAGGTCAATCCCACCCCTGAAAGGACCTAATGGTAAAGACTGCAATGATGACACAATTAAAGCCAACCTCTTTAACACATTCTTTGGCTCAGTATTTGTAAACAGCAATGGATCATGCTCAGTATTTCCTAGTTGAACTACAGACAACTACAATGATCTAATACATATCGATTTTACAGAAGACAATGTTGAAAAAGCACTACACAATCTAAAACCATCTCTATCTATTGGACCGGATGGAATATGTGCCTACTTCTTAAAAAAGCTATCTACTGCCATAGCCGAACCTCTAAGCATAATATTTGAAAAATCTTTCAGGACCAGCTCCTTGCCAAAACTATGGTCACAAGCCACAGTTATCCCCATCTTCAAAAAGGGAGACCCCAGCCTAGTTGAAAATTACAGACCAATCTCTTTATGCTGCGTCACCTGTAAAGTCATGGAATCAATTATTAATCAAGCCATTATCCTCCACTTAGAAACAAACAACCTGCTCTCTAATAAACAATTTGGTTTCAGGAAAAAACTATCCTGCAATCTGCAACTCTTACACTGCAAAAACATATGGACTACACAACTCGATCAGGGCAAAGCAATAGACACAATCTACATAGACTTCTGTAAAGCCTTTGATTCAGTGGTACACGACAAACTACTCCTAAAACTAAAATCTTATGATATCTCTGGACACTTGCATAACGGGATAGAAGCATTCCTGTCAAACAGACAACAAATGGTCAAAATTGGGAGCCCTATCAAATTCTGTACCTGTCAACAGTGGTGTCCCCCAAGGCAGTGTTCTAGGACCAATTCTCTTCATACTCTACATAAATGACCTCTGTGATCATATTAAAAGCAACTGCGTTCTCTTCGCTGATGATGTAAAGCTATTCAACACCACAGACAATACTGCTATCCTTCAAAAAGACCTCGACTATGTATCAGAATGGTCAAACAAATGGCAACTTCAAATCTCAACAAATAAATGCTCTGTCTTACATATTGGCAAAAAATAAATAAATCAGAAAATAAAATACAGGCTGAATAGTCAAGACCTTGTTGATGATCCAAACTCTGTCAAGGATCTTGGAGTACTCATCTCTAATGATCTAAGTGCTAAAGCCCACTGTTTCTACATAGTCAAAAAGGCATTAAGAGTTGTTTATTTATTTATTTATTTATTTGATTTGCCAATTGTTTACAAGATAATAAGTATAAGTGTATACATAGTTGTGAATACATGAAATGGGTACATATAAGAAAAATAAAAGAATAAGAGAAACAATAGGACAGGGACGGTAGGCACGTTGGTGCGCTTATGCACGCCCCCTACAGATTAACCTAATCTTATGTAGCTTTTTCTCTGGTAATATTACACTACTAACTAGAGCATACAAAACATTTGCTAGACCAAAACTCGAATACAGCTCATCAATCTGGAACCCACATTATGTATCTGATATTAACACAGTTCAGAAACATTTCACAAGAAGAGTTCTCCACTCCTCTACTCGTTGCAGAATACCTTATGCCACCAGACTTGAAATTCTAGACCTAGAAAACCTAGAACTACGCCGCCTTCGGTCCGATCTAAGTATAGTGTATAAAATTATACATTGCAATGTCCTACCTGTCAATGAATACTTCAGCCTCAACCATAACAATACAAGAGCACACAATAGATACAAACTCAAGGTTAATCGCAGCAAACTTGATAGCAGGAAATATGACTTCAGCAACAGAGTGGTCAATGTCTGGAATACTCTACCTGACTCTGTGGTTTCTTCCCTAAACCCCAAAAACTTTAACCTTAGACTGTCTACTATTGACCTCACCCCTTTCCTAAGAGGTCTATAGGGGGCATGCATGAGCGCACGAACATGCCTACCGTCCCTGTCCTATTGTTTCTTTTATTCTTCTTATATGTATCCATGTATTCATAACTATGTTTTTACTTATACCTATTATCTTGTAAGCAAGTGACAAACCAAATAAATAAAATAAAATAAAATAAAAATATTTAACATTTGCAGATAAACTTGTAAATGTAATAAATCTTAGTTCTTCCAAACTCTGCACTTTATGATTTTAAGCAGTGCCATTATATCTTTATTAACAAAAAATACTTGGGACCAAATGAAAACATTCTAGAGACTGACACTATTCTATCTATTCTTGATAACTAAGCTTAGTTTGTAACTTAAATCCTCTTACCACACATCACCAAACTCATAGAAAACTTCACCAGGGAGTATGGTGGTTCCTTTGTAATAGCAGGGACATTTGTTAGCAGGCACACATGTTTCAGAATCATCCATGTAAGTTCCATGTTCACATGTGCAGCCATCAACTGGGACAAATTTGATGTTGCAGGTAATATCAGGTTCACTCAGTGATCGGCAAGTAGGTTGACAAGAGCTAATTTCATAGCTATAATTCAGGGATTTGGGACAGGTAGTATATTTGACTTGAAAGAAGAAAAAGAAATAACAGTTATTTATATTGTATAGACTACCTGTTGATCTCAAGTCTCTGATAAAGCTAAAAGAGAAGAATATAACACACAACACACACAGAGCCACATCTGTGTTGAAAGCAGAAGAAAGGAACTAAGATCCATTTAGAACAACGTTTAGTGTTTTGCATTTATTTATTTACAGTTCAACACCAGTCATAAGAAAATATATTACATACTGCAGACTTAAATAGATAATCATGAAAAGTTATGAGAAAAGCCTGAAACAATTTATACTGTATGAAATGCAACAAAAATATCTTTAAGCCATAGCTATTTGCAATCTCTATTCCCTTTTAGCACTGGTTACCTAGTTGGGTAATAAAACGTCTACATGAAAACAACCAAGTCAGAAAGCACCAAGGACCCCCCAGTGGTAAGAATATTGCAGCCTTCTTGGAAATACCTAGAAATTAGCAATCTAAAATGAAAGCAGTAACACTACTTTTTGGGGAGGGTTGAAAAAAATTGGGACCAAATGAAAGCATTCAAGAGATTGGCACTATTCTGTATATTCTGAGTTTGTAACTTGAATCCTCTTACCATACAATGCCAAACTCTTCCTTAAGAAGAAAAATAAGGTTGATTTGGCATAGTGTGGTTGTGTTCTTCTAGCAATATGCACATGTATCACATGTGTTGTGAAAGAATCCATTGCATATTCAATGGTGAATAGATCTTAGAACACCAATTATCAGAAGATGTTTCATAGTTTAGTATCACAGTACAAAAAAATCCCTCTTTTAAAAAATCTATTAAGCACAGATTTGTCTACTACTCTAGATACATACATAATACTTCATATATCCAGGTTCCAGATAAATTAATTCAGAGGGAGAGGACTTTAAAGCTCAGCAACAAATAGACAACCAATGAAAATAGAAAATCATCTTATGTATGCTTTCCAAGCATGCAGCCTTGTAGTTTGGCTGCTGCAAATTAATAGTAATTTCTAGATGCTTTTAAAAATCATCTTTGTATGGAGCACATCCCAGACTATCTGGGATGAATATAAGGAAGGTATAAATGTCCATCAGAAATTCATCATTTCATAGAAATGCCAGCAAGAGATGGAGATTAGCATTAACATTATATTCAAAAGTCCATTCCTTGGCAGCATTGCTAGAAAAATTTATCACAGACTAGAATTTCTTGCTGAATGGTTTTATCAGATTACTCACAACAAGCGTTGGTTCTCCATCCTACAAGTTCAATTCCTTTGGCTCTGCATGCTCTGACATAGGAAGAGAGGGCAGCACACATGCACTTCTCACTTATCTTACAAGCGCAGGAATCATACATACAGTTCTAGAAAAGGGAAGCATATTCTTAATCAAATAATAGTTTCCATGCCATTTCTTGTTATGAGGTTGACTCAGCCTTCCATCCTTCCAAGGTCAGTAAAATGAGGACACAGATTGTTGGGGACAACATGGTGACACTGTAAGCCTCTTAGAGAGTGCTGTAAAGCTCTATGGAGTGGTAGAGAAGTCTAAGTGCTGTTGCTACTGCTATCCTACCACTAAATTGAAATTCCACTCAAGTAGTACATTGAGTTGGGTGTGCAAGGCTTTGTTAGTAGAGTGTTTTAATGTGCTTTCACATCATTTTGGCAATATAACACATGACATTGAAAATCCAGCTCGGTGGGTGAAATTCAGTCTGTTTTTCTTCAGGAAGATCCATTGGTGGTGGTGGTGGTGGGAAGTTTATATAAGTTTCTGCAATAACAGCCTACTGAAATTGACTAGATTCTGGCCAAAAATAACATTTGCTCGCCCCTCCCCTAAAGGATGATCCTTACTTCCCACTATTGTTAATGTCTTTCCAGGCAATATTCTTAATTAAAATGATCATAGTACCGTATGATAAGCCTTTGGATTCACTATGGGGTGGCATTTAGCAAAAGGTCCTTCACCATCAGTCAGAAGTCCGCACCAATGACGGGCATATTTTTCTAAAAAGAGAAGTAATACATCCATATCCTTTGGACTATTTCTATAGAGATACATGGCACATTTAATCACAGATTACATGTCTAGCTTCAATGTTCACATTATTAGCATGCTAATGCAGACAACTCAGAGGTGGTATTCAGCAGGTTCTGACCAGTTCTGGAGAACTGATAGAGGAAATTTTGAGTAGTTCGAAGAACCAGCAAATCCCACCTCTGACTGGAGATTTTACAGTATCCTTCCCCTGCCACGCCCACCAAGCCATGCCCACAGAACCGGTAGTAAAAAAAGTTGAATCCCACCATTGGGACAATTATACTTAGATCTGAAAAAGAGTGAAACAAACTTGAGTCCATTTATCTCATACACCTATTCTCTCTCAAACTCTGCTTGTAAGATCTTAATTTGCACATGTTTTGATTTTTCACTCTTGTTGTCAATGCATTACTTTTACTCCCCACTCCCATTTGTAATATTTCTATTGAGTTTTCCCTTAACAACTATGTAGAAGAAATTGAGAAGAATTGTTTTAAAGAATATTTTGCAGTAATTCTGCCCACCATTTTCAGTGCTCACGGTACAAGGGTCGTTAAAATGCTGTTTAATGTTGTCACAGGCAGCTTCAGTTTTCCAGGTATTAGCAAATGCAATTGCTGTTCCTTCTATCAATCCATTTAGGGTTTTGAAGTCATCCCTCTGGTTATGGTTAAAGTTGCCACAGAGGCCTTTAAAAGAAATTTTATAATTTGAATGATGGCAAAATAACAAAATGGATGCTTTGAACCTAGGAAAGGCATAGAATTTCGAAATATTTCTTACCACACATTCTCCCTTGGAAAGATGGATCCAGATAAATGTACAACTGTAGCAAAGGTTTAAGCTGGACCACGATCTGAAGGCCAAAATTTGTTTCCAGAACGATGAAGGAATGTGAAGGCTGGAAGATTGTTACATTAGCTATGGAGAAAGAATAAATGCCATTCTGAATAAATCAGCAATTGCAGTTCTTCAAGAGAGGAGGAGCTAAATTTTGGGTAGTCATTTGCTACCACCACATTGGTGAATTGGGAATATGGTACAGGGCTTGATTACAAAAAAAAAAAAAACCACCAAAGAAAAACCCCAGTGTAATTACTTTTACCATGTGTTCAATGATATGATGCACACAGCATATTTCACTGAACTAGTTAAGGGTCTAGCATGTTGTTTTACATGGTTGCCTTTACTCTTTGTCTCCCACCTATAAACTGGCTAGAAACAAAGCCAGCATTAAACATCCTTTTTCTAGTTATTAGTTCTTTTTTTAGTTTTGGCTATGGTAATAACACTTAGCAATAACACTTAGACTTATATACCGCTTCATAATGCTTTATAGACCTCTCTAAGTGTTTTACAGAGTCAGCATCTTGCCCCTAACAATCTGGCTCCTCATTTCACCCACCTCAGAAGGATGGAAGGCTGAGTCAACCTTGAGCCTGGTGGGATTTGAACTGCCAAATTGCAGGCAGTCGGCAGTCAGCAGAAGTAGCCTGCACTACTGCACTCTAATCACTGCGCGACCATTTAAGATTTAAAACTCTTCCTTCTGCACAGCCAGATATTTCTAATGAGCTACATACCTACTGAGATAGGCAGCTGAGCAGACATCCCATTAACAATTATTTTGCCTCGATGGTTGATTGCAGCATACTGGGGAGTAAAAATAAAGAAGAAATAATCAATAGGGTCATGATCTTAGAAAC